CATAACCCTAGACAACCTGACCTTAGGCCGTAAAGCATGGGGGCTGGGCCTTTGGTGGTCAGGCCGTTCTTTGGATGCTCGAGGCTGCGAGTGTCAGTGGACGGGCAGCGAAGTATTGCGCAGAAACCTCAGCATTTCAATGAATGCTAGAGTGCTGGAGATAATTTGGGCCAGCACCAAACACAAAAGACGCAAACATTACAGTAAAGTAAACCCTAAGATCGAAGCCTTCCCTTGGAGGGATTTCATCTGTCCTGCAGTTGGAACAAGGCGTTCAAAAAAAACAACTGATCCTCCACCCAAATGCCCCAGCCCCAGACCCTGAACGACCTAACCTAGCAGCGGCTTGGGAAAGTTGTGCAATGCCACAGCCATGGCGGCAGCAGACCTCGATACTCAGGCGGCTCGGGCAGCAGCGTATGGAGTGTAGTGTTCCGAGAAGGGTGTTTAGACAGTTTTATATTACATCAGCAAGGAGTGTGTCGGTTTGTGTTCTTTGCAGGGTTTGGAGTTCTAGGGCTTTCAGGATTCAGGGATTTTTGACTCAGTTGTCCATTCTTCTCTGCCTGAGGGCCTGTATAGTCGTTTTATAGATCCCATACAGTATTTTGTTCCGGATCTTTGATACATGTGTAGACATACACTCCCATGCATATGCATGGGTGTGTGTGTGTGTGCATATGTACATATGAACCGTCCAAGAAGCCTGGCTACTCACAGAGTCCGCGAGAATCGCATGAATTGGAAGAGGTGGAAAGGACTCGGATTGCACATCCATTGATCGTCCGAGCTACTTGCAGAGGTGACAGAGACATGTTGCACATGCAATAACAAGTTCGTGCTTCAACAAGGGGCACGTTTCTAGTTCGTTGCTAATAAGCAGGCCCAGCGAATGATTGGCCGCACTGCTCAAGTGTCATGCCAAGTCGTGGAGTGTTCTCACTTGCATGCTTGCGGCGTGCGATGTGATCTGTCTTCTTCAGCATATGGGTGGTTGTCAAAACTATGGTCCCTTTTTGGGTACCCTAAATGTTAGGTGCCGCACTCCAGTATGGACCCAAAAAGGGGCCATAATTTTGACAACCACCCATATACATACAGTAGGAGGAACCTTAGCCTCGGCACACCGCCGACTGCCACTGCACACTACTACTACTACTACTACTACTACTACTACTACTACTACTACTACGACTACTACTACTACTACTACTACTACTACCACTACTACTACCACTTCTACTACTACTACTACTACTACTACTACTACTACTACTACTACTACTACTACTTCTACTACTACTACTAACACTACTACTACTACTACTACTACTACTACTACTACTACTACTACTACTACTACTACTACTACTACTACTACGACTACTACTACTACTACTACGACTACTACTACTACTACTACGACTACTACTACTACTACTACTACTACTACTACTACCACTACTACTACTACTACTACTACTACTACTACTACTACTACTACTACTACTACTACTACTACTACTACTACTACTACTACTACTACTACTACTACTACTACTACTACTACTACTACTACTACTACTACTACACTACTACTACCACTTCTACTACTACTACTACTACTACTACTACTAACTACTACTACTACTACTACTACTACTACGACTACTAACACTACTACTACTACTACGACTACTACTACTACTACTACTACTACTACTACCACTACTACTACTACTACTACTACTACTACTACTACTACTACTACTACACTACTACTACTACTACTACTACTACTACTACTACTACTACTACTACTACTACTACTACTACTACTACTACTACTACTACTACTACTACTACTACTACTACTACTACTACTACTACTACTACTACTACTACTACTACTACTACTACTACTACTACTACTACTACTACTACTACTACTACTACTACTACTACTACTACTACTACTACTACTACTACTACTTCTACTTCTACTACTACTACTACATCATCGGGACGAAAGTTTCGACATACAGGGGATGTTATCAAAATACATGAACATGTACCGCGGGGAAGCGGACTGGAAAAGGGTCCGTTTTGCGTGGCCAGCGTGGCGGAGTAGTTGATTTCTCGGAATAAAATTACAGTATGCTACTATAATGTTCTCGGAGGAGAGCTTTTGCTATCTTGTGTGAGGAGTCTAAGGAGAAAGGGGGTGGCAGCGTTACAATATGTTGAGTTACAGGCAGTGTGGCGAACTTTCGTCCTGCGGTAGTAGTGTAGTAGTAGTAGTAGTAGTAGTAGTAGTAGTAGTAGTACTACTACTACTACTACTACTACTACTACGATGACGACCACCACTGCGGCCGCGACCACTCCCACGGCTACCTCTGCCACTACTACTGCTGCTATGTACTAGCCGTACTATTCACTACTGACGACTGTAACGAAGATCCACTCCGACGCTTAGGGACTGGTGGGCTCCGTGCCCGAGCTCTCGTCGCTCTTCGCAGCTTTGGGCGCTGAGCGGCCACCCGAAGGCCCCTTGGCCAGCCGAGGGTTTCCCAAGGGAGTTTTTCTTCTATATGGGAAGTTGAAGATTGAGTCTGTACGCGTGTGTGTGTGTGTGTGTGTACTTGTATATATGTTTATAATAATGGGCTTCTGAAGTATGTCGCTGTTTATAAGGAGGCGCTTGATGTGCTCATGATATGTTCATACAGCCGGTGTCCGGGTCCCCCGACACCCTTAGCAGGCCTTATGTTGCCAGAAGTGATTACATTCAGGATTTGCGGTTTCAGTGTTACGATAAAACCTGAAACTCGGAACAATTCCCTGGCCCCGTTTCGAAAGTGCAAGCTGCGAGGGCTTCCGCCAAATGTGCCTCCAGCGCTTTGGGCGGCCATGTGCCGAAAACGTGGGGGAGCTCGGAGTTGCGCGCAAAGCTCCAGTAAGGTAGAGGCAGAGGCCAGTATCGTGGATGGTTGTTAATCTCCGAAGCCTGACCGTGCATCACTGCATAACACACATTCGCGAAACAAACGTCGTCCGAAATAGCTGCTGTCGATCGTGAAACACTTCAGAGCTGACGCAACACTTCTACGAAGCCCTGCTCAGGGACTACCTACCTTTCAGGTGGCCAGAGTCTTTTAACAAATCATCCAAGATGAGGGCCCATCTGCGAGATGTTTAGTAGATGGTATAGGACCTTGAACTGTTGGTAGCATATTAAGTCGTCTTTGTGGCCTGTACCCAACCAGCACTCTCAAGTATTATAATGACAGCCGAGTTGCGAGCCGCACTCGCCTGACCTGTAAGGCATGGAAGACATCTGGGAACACAATACGAGCTCCTTCCAAGATCGTGAATCCCACCTTCGGAAGAGGCCATGTCGTGCAAAGCTCTCATGCATGTCTGGAAGTGGCATGATTCGCCATGGATGCCAGAGTTCAGCTAAAGTCACTACAGTCCTCCTGTGAGCAGGCACTTTCCAATTCCTGGCCCACCGAAGGGGAGGTCGCTGACCCTGCTAGAAGACCCAACAGGCCGCCATTGCGTTCGTGCAGCTTCGGCAATAGCTTTAGAATTGGTACGTGTCCAAGGCAAAACGGCTGACCGTTTTGCATATTAGCGGCTAGCCGAGTCATTTGGCAGGGCTCACAACCTCGGGGCAACAAGAGTCAAGAGATGCTGGACATCGACAATCGATGTTTGTTGTGATCCGCATGGTTCATCGCCGAAGCCTGAAGCTCATAAGCTGCCGCTCCTGTACTGTGCTTGCTTTAGTATGTGTGCATTTGCCGTACTATTCTGTCGACTCGCCCCTGGTTTTCAGTTTTGTGGCTTGATGCATCCTTCCTTTTTACAGGCCAAGGCACATCATTCACACCAATGGCAGATCGTTGCAGGCCGATTTGCCGTCGGAACCACCGGAGCTGTTCTTTGGCCAGCAGCCACAGCTCTCATCGAGTACCTTGACGGGCAGGCCGGGCTTTCGAATCCATCCACCACCACTACCCGTAGCAGCAGCAGCATCATCTTCCCATGATGGTGCCATGTATCGGCACCGGCGTCACCAGTACAAATCACAATTACGGCAAACACTGAAGAAATCATACCAAAGTCTCGAACATGATGAGCATCCCACAGTTGTCGGTGCAAACAGATGAACTTGCCAACGGTATGCGGAAATGGGCGGTGTGCAATCGCAAGCCAACAGCTCCTGATGTCTCAGGAAACCCCGGCTTCTCAACCCTTTAATCTGCGGATCCCGTCCAACTACCAAACACGACGACGTGTTGCTGTCCTGACAGACCCTCAACCCGATGCCACTTTCGGAGATTTCTTCCTACCTTCATGGCAGGTGAAAAAGTCCTGCCTGAATTTTCGCTGTGTGGAGCTTGGAGCTGGTGTTGGCGCAGTGGGCGCCTGGGCTCATGCTGGCTCTTGGGTTTAGGGTTTAGTTTTTTGTTGTTATGGTTTGGGGTTAATTCGGTCAGTATAGGGGCCTTAACAAGTGGAATAGGGGTTTACATTGGGACTCTGAGAGAATTACCATTACCAGTTGTTTAGTCTTCTGAGGTGGTGCAATCAATTTCGGGGTTACGTACGGCCGCTCAGGATTCAGCTCTGTGTCATGTGTGCATTTACACGTTTAGGATTTTGGAGCGGTTCATTTTGGTGGTCTGTGTGTGCAAGGATATGCAAGGTCCCAACATGTTGGGTGTAGGTAGGAGTCGCTTATCTCGCACATCGCCTCCCTCTATGGCTGGTGAAGCCTTCTGGATCGAACATCTATAGATGTTCTCACGGATCTGGATACCCCTGAATTTTGGTTCTTGGTGCCTTGTAAAAAGTTCAGGCGACGGTTTTTGGCTTAATTGGAGCCGGCCACGCTCTCGGGGCCATCCGATCCTAAGCCCAGCCCAACAGTCTGAGCCGGACATGTTATCCCCTGCTTATATGCCGGCAGAGTCAGAAAGCATGGACCTGAACAGCGTTGAAGATGGGTTGAAGCTCACAAAACTGCTCTCTACGTTTAGCTATGCTCCTCCTAGAAATAAATGCGGAACCAAGCGCGACCGAGGACTTTTTATGGCCCTTCACAAGGGCTGCGAAGTTACCCTCACGGAGGCTTCGCAAGGGCTGGGACCCGCTGGGATGCTAAGAGCGCTGGGCCACCTGCCCCTGTAGGATTAAGCTGTCTCATGCTCTGGGGCGGCCTCTAGGCCTTCGGGTTACTTGCCGAGCCTGACGACGAACCTGAGTCTGCCAAATGCCTGCGACCGAGCCAATTTTTCGCCTGCTGCTTCCCAGCATCACCACCACCACGGTTATCATCAGCAGCATCACCATCACCATTTTCAACTTCAACACGGTGCTGTACCACCGTACTCCCTTCAGACAGCATTCTAGGCATTTCGGACTGCAACTACCCTTGCCATTATTGTAATTGGTACTCCTCTTAGTAGTACCCCTCATAGTAGTACCCCTCTTAGTTGCACTCCTCTTCACTAATTACTACACCTCTTAGCAAAGATGAAGGTGCCAGAGCAGCTGCAGCTCCTCGGCCTCAACGTCTCCGAGAACTCTCCGACGGGCCTCGACCTGCAGGTGGACATCTTATTGCTATTACCTTATTATTGGTATTTCTAGTATCATTATGATTTTTGTTAGCAGTATTAACACTATGGTTCATCATTCCCTGAACTTCTGCAGATTCAGGTAAGGAAGGTTTTTGAAAGACTTGTTGCTGGTTCGAAACGATACAAAGCTGAAGCCAGTAACAGACTGGGTTCTCGGGTTTTTGAGGCCTTTTCCTTCTAGACTCTGGGGCCCATTGGCGCGCTGCACCTGTAAATCCGGCAGGTGGCTCCCCTGACGTGGGGCGACCAGGAGCAGATGGAGGTTCTTGGCCGCTTGGCCCTCGCTTCAAGTAGGGGATCTACAAGAGGGGGCATATGCTTCAAGAGGGATTTGGTAAGTAGGATCTGAGGCCGAGGATTCATGCCGGACAGCAGCAAGTGATGTTGCGAGTGTACATATGCTTTATATCTGTATGTATGCATGCATGCATGTATGTGTACTTGCCTATGTAATCATACAGATGTACGTACAGATTTCCATGCATTGGTTGTCTTGATGCACATGTCTTCGGTGCATGCAGTGTGATAGTGTGATACCAGTGGATGCAATGTAATATTGTACCATGTAGTACCCATGCATCTGCGAGGTACCTTCGAGATGGTCGTGGGCAGTGATGTCAGCTACCGACCCCAGTGCATCGGTCGGCCACCAAGACTTGGCCTTTGGTGTTCAGGTGTTGGGTTTTCGGGTTTTGGGGTGCTGTAGTTTCATGTTGTAGGGTTTAGGGTTTAAGTTTAGGGTGGAAGCCTTCTTCCTCCACTTTGCGCGGTTCCGTCAACCAAGATTCTTTCAACCGCGCTTCCTTCTACTCTGTTCGCCGCTTCCCTCAACCCAGGTAGTGCCGCGCTTCCATCAACTCCGACTGTGCTGGTTCTGTCAACTCCGCCCCCCCGTTTCCATTGGTTGAGTGAGTCCTCGTGGTTCGGTTAAGGTAGCACGCGTGTCTGTAGTTGGAGCAACTCTTTGTGTATGGGTTGAAAGAAGCAGTTGTGTGGATTAAAGGAATCACTGCCGGGGCCATGGTTGAGTGAATCTGCGTGCCGGGGTTGAAGGAAGCAGGGTTTCGGGTTGACAGAATCCGCGGGCAGTGGTTGAATGAATAATCGGCGAAAAGTTGAAGGAATCTGCGTGCGACCTGAAGTTTAGCGTCCTGGGTGCGGGTCGTGAGGGGTGTCCTGGCCCTGAAAGGCCTATGCTTTTCGTGAAGTAGGGGTGTTGGGGGCCATATCGTGTGTGGAGTTGCGAGTATTGAAATACGGCGGGATGGGGTCGTATCAGATCCTGCCCAAGAAGCACCTGCCTTGTTGAGACATGTCCTGTTGATACTGGTGTGCAGTGTCAACACGACAAGATTAGGACGCGGGGACGAAAGTAAAAACCAAGAACGCGCATGCTTCTTCCCCGGAAATCTGGACCCATGTCAAAGGGGCAAGTCACATCTTGTCACGGACGTCTTTCTAGGTGAGCTGCTCTCGACGGCCGAACGTCTCCTTGCACCTTGTGGAAGGCGCAGACGCTGCTTTCAAGAAAATGTGGAAGGCAGTAGCTACTTCTGCGAACCTTTAAGCAACATCGCTTTGTCGGTTGGCCTCACCGGATTCGCCGGTGGTGACTCAGGGGCTCTCATGCTGTCCTGCATCTGGGCTCCCGGTCGGCTTTGGGTAAGGGTTGCGGCTTAAATCAGCTTACCCTTCCGACACAGTCGCATGGAGATGCAAACAAGTGCACAGTGTCGTTGCCTCGAATGTTGATATAGCACTGCTTGCGGTTTGCACCCACCAAACGTCGTGTGTCGTGCGATCCAACTGTCTTTGGTGTGCTTGGAGCATGTTGCCTTATGAGTGGCGTGGCACCCTGAAGGGTGGTCCTCAGCCTCCAGGATCGACCAGGCACGCAAGCTGCGGAAGGTTCAGGGGTTCATGTATTTTGCAGCGGATCCATTTCGGTTTGGCGTTCCGATCAACTGTCCTGTGTACTGTGTCCTTTGGTGGCTCCACGGCTCAATGTGAAGCCACAGAGGCCTTAGCTGCACAACCGGCCCTGGCTTTAAACTCACCAGACCCCCTTCAGCAACACGCTGGCAGGTCCGCCAAATCTGCGCCACAACTCTTCTTGTGGTGGTGTTCTAGATCCAAGGAACCATGGCCTTTGGGTAGGCAGAGACTTGCTGCCAGGGGCCTTGAGAGCCCAGAGCTTCTTGGGGAGGTGAGGCAGATCTTCTGGAGTCCTCCTTGAAGAGCCTGGCCGTCTCGAAACGGGAAAGCGTGGTGGCCAAGAGCCTCGAAGGCTCTGAGCCAAGGTTGATGAAGTCAGTAGAAATTCAGGGGAGCAGCTGGCCTTTCCGATGTCAGCCGAGGGGGTACAGTTGTGAATTTTGAGGGTTGTTGATGAGTGCTGTTAGTCAGTAGTGTTGGGGAAGCCTGAGCAGCGTTTTTTTGACCCAAAGCCGCTGCAGTCTTTGCAGGTGATGAGGACGCACGAAACTCAGCGATTCTGGGGTTCATCTTCACCTTAGCTTGCGAGAGAACAAGCCAAGGTCCCACTAGAGATGAGGTTTGGGGTGCCTGGAATCTTTCTTGGTGTAGCTGGAGCATTAATATCATAATGTGTGAAAACACGCCACCATGAAAGCACAAATGACAAGGCTTTTACAAAGTGTGATGATGCTGAAGGTACCCGTCATCATCTTCGAGCTGCGCCGGCCGACGGAGATGCAGCCTAGGCCGCCCAAAGCTTCTGATCCGAGTCGGGCAGCTGCATGTCTCCATCATGCGTTCGTAGCAGGAGCAACAGGAGCAGCAGTGGAAGAAGTACAAAAGATCTGATATCATCGGCAGTCGTAGGATCGTCTTGACGCAAATTGGAAGCAAGGCAGAAAGGGATGATGGCCTAAATTGTCAAGAGCTTCAAACATGCACGCTGCTCTGCCAACAACCGGACTATGCCTATGCCGTTTTGGCTACTTGGCGAGTTCCAAAAGCACCGCCTCATCTTCCATCAGCTGGCAGCGCCCGGGCTGCATGTTGCGCTGTGGCGCTGTGACGGTCAGAAGTGTTGCTGTGTTTTGGGGCATTGCGCCGGGCGCCCTGTAGCCTGTTGGAGGTGCACTTGAAAGGGGTGTCGGTAGCGCCGTATTCTGGCCCAACACTCGAAGTTGTTGTCATCTCGTCGCTATCCTGAAAGCCCATGTGCAAGGGCGCCATGCGCCCGCTGCTGCAGTTGGCTCTCGTCACCCAGGCCAGCAGCCACATTGGCGAGAAACCTCCGACTTTGTCCTACTGTTGCCAGTCTTGCAATTGCCAACAACAAACAAGACTGCCACGCTTAAAGGGACCCCATTCGGTCCGTCGGCTCAAAGCCTATGCAAATCCCCAAACCGCCGCAGGTCGCAGCCCTAGGGCCTCTGTGGCCGCTACCAAACCGTGTTGTGCCACTCTGCTGCACTTATAACATGAATCTGCAGCATGATTTCCAAGGTGAAAATGGTGACTATAATATGACTATATTATGACGATGATCATGATGACGACGACGATAGTGACGACGATGAAGACCATGACCACGACGACGTTGATGATGATGGTCATCATCATCATCATCATAACGGTTTGATGGTGATGATGAGGACGATGGGGGCACTGGCTCAGAGCACGTTGCGCAGGGTTAAGACACTTCCGCGTATGAGGTGGATCCGGGTCGAAGCCATGCAGGTCCATGCTTGACTAATTGCACTCTTCTTTCGAATTCTTTCGTTCACGACCGGCCGAAGCATGATATCGAAGATGTCCACGGCTCCGTGAGAGAGCTGCAAGCCTGGCAAAGCCAAGTCCTGGCACCGGAACCGTGCTGCTGAATCCTGCGACCTACAGCTCCTCGGACTCGGAGGGTTTTTCTGCGGTGCAGCTGTGGGGGGGCGTCAGAATCGCAGGGTTTCTGTGCGTGGAGCACATTCCAAGAAGGCTAGCTAGGGCTTACAAGAGGCTTGTTTGTATAGGTTGCATTTATAGGTTCTTTTCACTCCGAAGTTTTGTTGCTTCTGCAGTGTCGGGCTGCTGGGCCTTTCAGTGCTGTTAGGAGCATTTGTGCCTAGTGAATCCTAGTGATTCAAGGTGTTCTATGTTGCGCTTTAACTTTCTCACCTCCTGCCGCGCTGCATGGCAGGCTTTCAGGCGATCACAACTCCCGCCGAGCTGCTCAGGGCCTTCAAGAGATACCAGCCACTGTTTTTCCCACGGGCCACCACCGCACATCCTTCTGCAGTGAATGCCGGCCTCGTAGTGAACGTTGAGGATCCTTGGTTGCAACAATTCCGTTCCGGCAATAGTGGTAACTTAGGAGCTCGAAAGTTCACGGGCCTGTGTCTTTGTCGTGCCGATAGTGAACAGCCAGCTTGCGCGTGTCTTGTCGGCTAAGGATTCCACCGCGGACCTTGCTCTTGGCGTAAATGAGTCCTACACTCTGGACTGAGACGTTGTAGAAGCATGCAGCAGTGGTTCGCACCTTTGACACTATCTTGATTTAACCATCTACCACCATCATCATGATCATCATCCTCGGCTTCATCATGACATTTCCAGTTGAATCAACTCAACACAACGACAACAGCATGGGCGCTGGTAGTGGTATCTCCAGCAAGCCAGAACAAGTCTGCTGAGAGGTGTCACCGATGCACTCCCGGCTTAGCGCAGCCATTTGACAGTGAAGTAGACCCTAGACCCTCCTGGGCTCCGGAGTCATCCATGGGGTCTGGTGCCAGCCAGGCATATGAAGTCAAGGTGGTTCATGCAAGCGACGACACTTCCTCCAAGAAGGACCCGGGCCCGGACACACAAAATTCTTCAGCACCTGGTGGGTTTGTGATCGATAAGCAAGTGCAGGCACAGCTACAAAAAGCCGACCTATCGGAATACTTTGTTGGCAGGTACCTTGACGGTGATGTCTTTGAGAAAGACAGCTACGAACATGGGAGTATTGAAGCTGGCCTGCCGATCTATACTTTCGAAGGCGCTGATGGCCCCACTTCTGTTTGGCAGTTCGCCTTCGATCTGCGTGGTTTTGGCCAAAAAGGTGAGAACGTCCGTGTGCTCTACCACTACAGCAACGAATTGGCCTTCCTGAACGTTGGCAATTCACAGCTATCGGCGGCAGAGATATTTGCCTCCCTGGTAGATGAACGCGCTCATTTTGGGAAGGGCGTCTATGCCACGCAGCACGAGCCTGCAGTTTGGGCTTCGAGGGTGCGGATCCTCCTTAACAACTATAGCAACGAGGATCCGCTTCGGCCAGACACGAGCGATGAAGAATCTCGGAGAGTTGAAAAGGAATGGGGCGATGGCAACTCCACGGGCCACAGGGCAGAGTTTTGCGTGCCCCTCATCGTTCCAGAATCAATTGCCTACAACATCTTTGAAAAGCAGACCCCTGACATGAAGGCGAAGAGGGTAACTGACAAGAGCGGCAAGGAACGTCCCCTTGGTCTCGGAGAGGACTACAAGGGCCGTGCAGTCCATCGCAATCGTGACGTTTGGGTTGTCAGACTCGAAAGCGATGGGGGCGCCGTTCAGCATGCTACTGCTGAAGCCGAAGGGCTGATTCAGCTTCTTCAGCTTCGACTGTCAAAGCTCCATGGACGTCTGGGAAACGAAGACAGCGCAACTTTGGACTGCATGGACCAGCTGGCAAACCGTTTTGATGGACGTGGACGGCATTCTGAAGCCGAGGAGCTTCGGAGACACTGTCTGGGAAAGCGCCAGGAGAAGTGGGTTATAAGTCCCCTAATATGGGTAATATACTTACCCTACTTATAACCCTAATTACTTCTAACGGCCAGGAGAAGCTCGGCAAGGACCACGAAGAGACCCTGATCTCCTTGACCAACTTGGCCACCTGCCTGAATATGCAAGGCAAGGCCGACGCGGCCGAACCCTTGAGCCGTGAGGCTTGGCAGACGAGCCAGAAGAAGCTTGGCGCAAATCACAGACTGACAAGGAAAATCCTGAATTCCCTGGCACATACCCTGTATAGCCAGGGGAAATATCAAGAGGCGGAATCTCGTTGGCGAGAGAACTGGCAGAAGTGCCAGGACGAGCTCGGCAGCGACCACATGGAGACATTGAACACATTGAACGACTTGGCAGGCGCGCTGCAATCACAGGAGAAGCTGGACGATGCCGAGCGTTTCTACCGAGAAGTGTTGCAGAAGCGCCGGACGAAGCTTGGTGCAAGCCATCCCCTCACATTGATTTCTTTGAACAACTTGGCTACCATTCTGGTAGAACAGAAAAGACCGGGCGAGGCGGAGCCTTTGTTCCGAGAGTCGTTGCAGATGCGTCAAGATAAGCTTGGTGCTCATCATGAAGACACTTTGGGTGCCTTGCAGAACTTGGCAGGTGTACTGCAAGAGCAGGGCAAAATCAAAGAGGCTGAGGCCCTGTTCCGAGAAGCCTTGCAGACCTGCCAGGAGAAGCTCAGCAGCGACCACCTCAGCACGTACACCACCATGCATAACTTGGCTACTCTCCTTTCAGAGCAAGGAAGAAACAGGGAGGCCGAGCCCTTGTATCGAGAAGTCTTGCAGAAGCGACGGGAGAGACTGGGCAGAGATCATCCGGAGACCCTGGGGACCTTGATGAGCTTGGTTACCACCATGCTGGGTTTAGAGAAATACAGGGAGGTCGAGCCATTCTGTAGAGAAGCCCTGCAGATCTGCCAGGAGAAGCTCGGTGACGACCATCCGCACACCTTGATTTGCTTAAACAGCTTGGGAGGTGTGATGCAAAGCCAAGGAAAGCTCAGGGAGGCTGAAGAGCTGTTCAAAGCCGCCTGGATGAAAAGCAGGGATATGCTCGGTGACCAGCATCCTACCACACAGACTTTCTACAACAACTGGGTGCGGCTAGGGGGCCCTTCGATGCAGCAGCCTTCACCCGGTCTTTTCGCTGCCCAAAGCCGAGATCCTTTACGGATCTCGGCTGCTTCCGGCCTTTCGCAAGGGCGGATGGCCGAGATCGACGCGGAGATCGAGCGTGTCCTACTAGGGGAGGATTCGGATGAGGAGCTGGAGGCTGCTTTAAGAACCAGTGAGGCGGATCTAATCAGGGCGATGGCAGGCAATAATGCTCACTTTATGGGAGGTGGGCTCTTCTGAAGGAAGCAGCCGACCTGGGCTAAACCCAACCTTCCATTAATCAGGCGCTCAACTGTGCACTGCATGTGAAGGTGTTGGTGCACTGAAGGCATGGTAAAGCCATTCCTCATCTGTTGCAGCCTTGTGGTATCATTGTGGTGCCAGACACAGGCCGATCTAGACACTCGATGCTTTGCAAAATGAAATGCACGGGAAGGCAGACCCATGTTATGTTCGTGATTGCTGAGTTTCAAGAGCTCTTCAATGTTTTGCCGAAGCTTCCTTGTGAAGGGATGTTGTCATGACATTCCTCCCCTGCACTGTCCTGAAGCCCCTGAAGTGTTGCATTGTTGAACTAACGACTTTGTTAGTTATCGCTGACAGACGCATCATCTTTCGTGTGAACCATGTTATCTAGCCAGTTTCGCACCATGTATTTATCCAATCCTCAAGGTTTGGTTCGCTGCTGCACCAAGAAGGATATCCTCTGCGGTTTTGTTTGGTAACATTCCAGTCATGTATCCACTCCTATGCAGGACGTGAACGTCGATGGAACCGCGGTCATTTCTGCCAAGACCGTGTGGGGCGCTCTGCAC